TCGGGGTGTCGTTCGCTTAAAACGAGCTGAGAGTGGATTTCGTGATAAGGATTTCAAAATAACTAAGCCACCACCGTTCGCTTCTTCTATGGTATGACGGGACGGGCCATGCTTTGCCTTGCTGGGCCGTGCCGCCCTTTTATCCGACGCCCTTTCGACGTTCCCGGCGCGTCCCTCGCCACCCCCGGGCGTGCAATAAAAGAGCAGATAATCAAAACACCGATTCTGATTGATTTCCCAATTCGGCCAAATGCGACACGACCATTTTTAGTTCCACGCCTGACGCTCACTCAACATTGTGAACGTCATGACTTGCAACAACGGCGCTTCAAATTGATGTTTTCAATTTGCCACCAGCGTCCGACAACAATATTACATACAGTCCTTACTAAATTAGTTCGAAGCTTTTATAGCCACTATCACCGAAGAATCATCAATCAAAGCCATAGCCTAAAGTATACAAATTACCATTCATACTTTGTTACTATAAAAAAACTTATATAATCCACTTACCTCATTAAACTATCATTTTCGGTATTTTTCAAACCATAAAACACAATTTAATTAAGTCTTCTAAACTTTTATATAATAATCTATGACAGTAATTATAATTCCAATGCAAACTACAAATTTTTTTTAGAAATTTTCTTCTGAAATTTATTCTTTCAATTCATTTTCAAAACAATATAATAAATAAATTTAAAAAAAATTCTATAACGATAGCAAAATATTTTTATGTTTTGTTAAAAGATATTATGTTATGTTAAAAATTTAAATTTATAATGAGATAATTTACAAAATTTGTAAAATATTATTTCAAATCAACGTTAAATCGTAATTTAAAATTTCTTTTTTTATATGTTAATAAATTGTTATAACCGACAATGAAATAAAATTCCAACTTTCAATTTGATAGTTTTTACTCTTTATGTATTCCAATATGGACTGTGAAGAGGTTATATTATGGAGTTGTAAATTTTACATATTTTTGTAGTAAAATATAATACTTGATACTTCTTTACTATAAAATTGGTATTATTTTCAAATTGATTCAAAATTGTATAAATATTAACTTAGAATGGAATATATTTTTAATTCATATAAGTCAATAATTTTTTGATTTTTTTGTCCTAAATTAAATATATATAAAAAAATAGTTAGTAGAAATATATAATATATTTTGGTTATATTTACTTATTAATTTACTTATTAAGTATTAAAACATAATTAATTGATAGTTAATAGATTGATACAGATAAAATTAAATAGAAGAAAAAAAACATGGCTTAAACCTAATCTTAATGTGATTTCAAGTTTGATAAGTTTCGAACGGGGGAACATCGCGTAGATTTACTTGGGTTCCATCCCTTTTCTTTTGCATTAACTTTTATGGTGACGCGAGGATAGCAACAAATTAAGCCGAGTTTCACTCAGAGCGCGTTCACTTCCAGATTCAGGATTTTCTAATTAACTCCTCGATTCACATTACAATTACACGTTACGTTAAATTTAGTGTGGGCTCGTAAGCCATTAGTCTTTTGCTTTTATAATGACTCGACATCAGTTTATATTCGCTCATTTAATTTATCTAGGGCTTTGCTTGAGCAAAATAAATATATCTACATGTATAAAATAAACAGTTATGCAATTACTTCATAAAGTTGTTTTTAAGCTATATTAAATGAATACAGTCGTTCTTGTTTATCCGATTCAAGATTGCTACGTTTTGTTTATGTAATAAATGAGAAATGATGTACGTGCGTATTTGAGTGTGATGGAAGGATGTGGTGGGGGAGATAGTAAGAAAAGCAGGTGCTTTGGAGATGAACCAATTAAGGCACGCACATTTCTCATGGCCAGTGACAAACCATTTTTCTTAGTTCCAGATGGAACTAGGGCCGTGATGTGGTCGAAACACCCCTTTCGTTAACAGACGAAAAAGCCGGACGCAACGCGAGGGAGGTGGGGTGTTGTGTCCGTGGTGTGAGTGAATGGGGTTTCGGAGCGACCAGTCCGAATATTAATAGACCGCAACAGTTTCTATGCTTGCAGCACTAGTACGTGATTGATGAAGTCTGCAGGACGTGAATGGATGTCGGTCGGCTACACATTAAACCGAAAGATTTACCTATGCATATTAACTTGTTCACACTTTTAAAAGCTAATATTTGCCGTGAAGATTTGGTTTGCCGACAGAGCAAGAGAGACACCATAGTGTGTCTCTGTGTGTGTGTTTTCGGCTGCGTGTCTATGGGTGTGAGATGAAGTGAGAGAGAGAGAGGTATAGTTTGATGCTGGATGTGGGAGTGAGAGGAGATGTGGAGGACGACGATAAAGGAGCCGAAGTGACGCATCAATCAACAGCTATCGCACATTACAGATGAACCCACCCGACAACTATCTGCTCCCGCATCCCAGGCCCATCCGAATCCCAATCTCCACTACCGCCGACCCAACTCCAGAAAGAAACCTAGCCTATAACTCATGCAGGGAACCTCTTCAAGGAGGCCAACGATGGCGCGAGGCGAAGGCACAAGTTGCCAACTATTGGCAACTTATGCACTTCCATATATAGAGACCGCAAACAAAGTTGTGCTTTGGGGCGCATCGGTTGCTTTGTGCACCTCCGAGACTAAAGCCTTGTTTGAGTTGGTGCCGCGACTCCCGGTGTGGTCTAACCGCTCTATTTGACTGTCCCCGCAAAAGGCCCCAAAAAGTGCGTACCGAAACCACATCAGAAAATGCCTTTATACGCTGGAAACCATTATATATACTATTTCTAAAACTTTACTCTGATCACAAAAAGTGCATAAATCGACAATAACTAAATTATTTTATATTTTATTTTCTACCTCCATTTCACAACTTTTGTTTAAAGTTTCTATGTAAAGAAAAAATATAATAAAAAATACTAAATTTGTATTTGTTATTTTATTATAATATTTCTCTAATAAAATAATAAAAGATGTAAACAAATTAATGAAATCTTTCATGTAAAATATAAGTAATAATTATTACTTTGGTAAAAGTACAATTTTTATATTCAAATCAACAATACTAAAACACCCCAATATCACTAAGCCTTTACCATGTTTTCAAAAATTTTCATTTCATTTCACTTTTATCCAATGCATCAATACTTCTCCTGTGGATTATACACACATCCCATAGACATTGAGTGTCTACCTCTTCACTTTTTGTGACCACTTCTCAATCTTGACACCATTCTACTCTATAGTAAATATGTTGGTAATATCTTATATATAGATATTCTGCAGAGTATTATTATATCACTGATATGATATACTACCAATATGATAAAAAATATTCCTCAGTTTCTTTTAATTTGACCTTATTCAAGAAAATAGTAAAAAAAATCAATTAAAGAAATATTTGTACTAAAACTGTTATTGATTAATAAGTCATTTATATATCAAATTTTGAAAAAAAGAATACTGTATAGAAATTTTCGAATTAAATAGTTTTTTTTTGTTATTACAAAAATTGAGCCAAAATTATTGAATAATATCAATTATAAAAATCAATTTGTAATGTTTTGTCTTTTATTACATTTTTTTATTGCACTAGAGGTAATTATGAAGATTTTAATGTATATGCAAAATAACATACATTTTTCGTGTAGTGGAAATACATCTTCGGTTTGATATTTGTCTGCTGTTGTCATTTCCGATATACTGAGGCAGGATGAAATAGGGCATTAGTTCGTACACTTCCTAATATTTACCAGAGAGTATTTTGCGAGTATTGCATGTCCACTTATTCTCTACTCCGATATTTCCAGTAGGACACAATGCAGTTTCTTACTTTGTTTGTAGACATTCCTTCCTTTGCTCCATTTCACTTGGAGGTTTCTTATATCTTCTACATTACAGTTGTTTTACCAACTAGTACTCTATACGTATACATATTTGTTTCATAAAGTTTAGAACAAACGTCTAATGAAATGACACGTTAAGATAATAGATAATTCTTTAAAATTAATTATTTTTTCTATAAAACCTTGAAATATACAACGAGTGAAAATCTATGAATAACAATAGTTGGAAATAAGATTAAGAAAATAATAAATAATAGAAAATATTTTGTTTTTTATTTCAATAAATACACTATAGAGAAAATGTTAAGTGATGGTGGAGAATTATGTGAATGCAAATGTATCGTGATTTGATTGATCATTTTGCTATAGACCATTACAATGAAATCATATGGAAAGTGTAATTGTCATGAAGTAATGTGTATACAATTGTATCATGAATATATTAATCATTTTGTTATAGATCATAGTGATGTAATAGCTTTATACAAATAGTTGAAAACATGAGCAACATCATTTTCAAAAAAAACTACAGAAACTCCCGGTCAAAATTTAACCGTTAATCATATTGGTCGTTTACAGGTAATGGAACTATTGTTATTGGTAAAATGTGAAGAATTGTTCGATATATAAGCAATAGGATCGAAATAAAGTAACTGAATAATATAAATAGTTGAAATGAGTATACGTAGAGAGTTTGTGCCTGTGTGTATTAGATACAGCATTAATCTTGTCACGGTTATTGAGTAATTCATTCACGAGGAAAATGTAAAGTGCTGATGTATCCAACGAATGCAGTTGCATCACGATTGCTATGTTCATTTTGCGACAGACAATTGCGATGGGAATCCCAGATACGCAATCTTCGAGAAGTAACGTACAGCCTCCGCATAGCGAGCGGGTAGCGCGCATTTTCGTATTCTTCGGATTGATATTTGTCTACGGTTGTCATTTCCGATATACTGAGCCAAGAAGAAACAGGGCATTAGTTCGTACACATCCTAATATTTACCAGAGAGTATTTCGCGACGGGCGGCCAACCGGAAGAAGCAACAGGAGTCGCGGCGGGTCGAGAGGGGTCAGACCCCGAAGAAGAAGGCGCGCGCTCCGAACGGCAGCAGCAGCAGCACGCGGCGGAGCGTTGGATCGCGCGTCGCGACGCTCTTCCCAACGCTCGTCCTCCTCAAATCCTCAATCGTTCCCCAGCGTCGGTCGGGACACCTTCCACAGGCTACATACAAAACGCGTACGACATCCGCGCGCGCTACTCACGCTGTTAGACCACGCACATCCCGTGTCGGGATAACGAAAAAAAAGAAACAAAAAAAAAATACAGCACCACCTCAATCACTTTTTCTATAACACTTTCTTGGGTAAGTCCTCCCATTATCCTTTCTTCCCCACTCGCGTGTACATTAACTCCTAGCACACGCAACTAGATTTCATTGTGTTGGAAAGAAAGAAGCGAGCGGTGAAGGAAGAGAATACAAAAAAAAGAAACAACATACTGAAAGGAACTTGTTCAAATGTTGCCTTTTATTTTCTCTATTCTCGTGTGTGTATGTGTGTGTGTGAGTGTGTCTGTGGGAGTGTTTCTTTTTTTTCTCTAACTTTGATTTCTATAATATATTTTATTTTGTACTCTCCCCCAATCGCGTGTCGTAATATTTAGGTTGGATAATCAAAGTAAGAAATTGTAGAAATTTTTAAATCTTAATGAAAATGCAAATTTTCGGAATTGGAAGGGAACAATAACTCTCCAAACTGTGTAGACGGTCCTTGTAACCTGCGGTCTCCGGGAATGGGACTCCTTATCGCGTAATGAAGATTCAGACACAAGTGTCCTCCCAACTTAGTTAACTCACCTCGGAGTCGTTAGTGGCTGTTGCACGGGAATTGCTTTCGGTCTTTCGCCATTATAACTATTACCAGTAATTCGCACCGTTGAACCAGCCTTCAGCGCGTTTCCCGTTTTCATACTTAATACCGCAAAAATGCAATCTCGCTTTCGGGGGGGCGGCGGCAGTGGTAGCAGCAAAACATTTGTCGAATTAAGCGTTTCCTACATTCTTGATTCAGCGAACCGGAAACTCCACATGCACATTCCATCATCGTCCAAGTCTTCAGTCCCGCCATTAGCGGGTGCCTTTTTTAATTGCTCCGCAGCCCCCGCGACGCAACAACTCCAATTACAACCACCCCAGGTTGTATCTCGCTTCCCGCAAAGCGAAAGAAGTAAAAGAAAGAAAAAAAAATATATATAAATGAAAAGAGGAATGGAAAAGAAAATAAAAGAGACAAAAAATACAACACGAAGCAAATAATGCCGAATAAGAATCTCCGCCACCTAAGAGGCTTACGCAGAACCGAATGCAAAGCGCATCCCGACACTCCCGCATCTCAATTACGTAATTCAGCACAAAACACCCGTCGCTTCGCTGCGCCCATAGATATAATAATCACAATAATTACTTTGATTTGCTACAGCTAATCAATTACAATTAATAAAAAAAAACAACAAAAAAGAATTATTACCAGTTTTACTTCATGTAGATTCCGTATTTTTTTCTAGCATTTAAATACTCTATTATTTATTATTGCATTAATCCACACATAACTTTTGTAAGTAACAAATATATAATTATTTACTATTTTTTTTATATTATAAATTTTCTTAATTTTATTAAAATAATCCAATAAAATCATAATCAAAATTAGTCAGTTTCGTTAACTTATAGCAAAAAAAAATCAAAATATTTTTTTTCTATAATTAAAAAATAAAAATTCAATGAAATATTACAAAAATAATGTGAAGGAAAGCATCATTTCTATAGTTTAGAATAATAAATTTACAATAAAAAATGAAATATAAAATTTTGTAATTTTTTTCAATAGAAAAATATATTTTTCTAATAAATTTTGTATTAATTAATTAATAAAAAAAACAATATTTTGTTAAAGTTATAAAATATATTATCAAAAAATATAATACTTTGCGTCAAAACAAAAAAAAATATTATTAACAATATAGTAAACATTTAAAATTTTGTAAATTATTTCTATAGAAAAATTTATTACATTAAATTTGATTTAAAATCAATGAAAAATTTACTTAATTAATTTACTATTGAAAACTAGAGAAAACGTGAATTATTTAAATAAAAATAATAACGAAAACAATATTTTCTTTAAGTTAATAAATTGATTATGGAAAATTTATAATAGAAATATAAAACTTTTCAAATATATTTAAAAAAAAAACACGAAGAAAATATGAGAAAAGAATCTGCATTGTTTTTCACTTTAGATTTTAGATGGTTGTGAAAAGTTTTGCTGTAAAATGTAACGGCGAAGGAACGAATTATTCGATAATAGTTGGAAGTGATTCTATTGCTCTTTGAAATTGGAATTAAAACTGAAGTGAAGTTTCGCCAACTGTGTTTCGCCTAAAGTCCGGGTAAGGGTAAGTTCGTAAATTTAAGAAACATAATTTAGTTTATTTGGGCATTTAATTAAGAAAGCAAAGGGCTCGTGATTTATGGAGCGGCTTTGGAACTCCCTTCGTCCTTCGTACATTTTATATAGATATATATATTTTTATTCTTATTTCATTTCTATCTGAGAAATAAATTCAGTGCGTAACATAAATAATAATTCAATTCAAACACAAATAAATGTTATATTTTGAGAATATTTTTAAATTTTTATTACTTTTCTGATCTTAATCATTTTCATTCTTAAGAAATTTTAGTTAATTATTAAAAAAAAATTGTGATTTTGTAAGCCACAAAAATATACCAATTATTTAATCATTTTTCTCAAATCTTTAGAAATTTTAAAGTTAAATACCAAAAACTTGACTTTTATATTAATATCTAAATAATTGAATTAAATGAAAATTATGAAAAACAGAAAAATTCGTTGGATAATATAGTAATACTAAATCATATTTTTAATTATTTTTAAATTAATCATTTTTTACTAAAAAACACATGATTTATATAATGTTTTCATATTTTATGTACATACGCCAATATCTGATTTGTTTTTAATGATCACTGATTTTAATCCATAATTGATAATTTTAATTAATTGTTACGACGCGCAATTATTTTTAACGAGACTTTTTACATAACGAACCTGTTTTTTTTTGTTCATGCGTACAAAAAACAAACAGTGGCGCATTTTGAATATTTAACTGAAATCGTTTAAATGTTTATGAACAAATGATCAAAGTCCCTTTTACGAAATTAATATTCATTATTTTAATATTCGAACAACCAAAAATTTTATAAATTCGACAGTCCGTATTTTTGTTTTTATTTTCGATTTGTTGCAATTTGATCGATATCCGTGTTTTTGTTTCCCTGCGAATAGTGAACTCTTTTTTTTGTCACAATACATTTAGTGAATTAGTACGTTCAATGAATTTTTATTACGAAATAAAAGCTTTCCATTATCCATATTATGGGAAAACAATTTATTAAAATAAAAATATTATTAAAAAGTATACATTTCATATGTTTTTTGGATTATTTCCAGGATATTTTAGGATATCCATTATAATAGATTTTTTTGATGTCCTGATTTAAATTTCGATTTTATTGACGAAAATTGCGAAAATTTTACAATTTTTTTGGCAAATTTTGTGGACAAATTTAAAAATTGTTGTCTTATTTAATTGAATCAGCCGGATTTTAATTTATATTTTATTCATAATTTGAATTAAAGTTAAATTTAGATATTAGAAACATTTAGATTTAGTATATTTTTTTACATTTGCTGAAATTAAAAAGTACACATAAATATGTTACAAACTTAATAATTTATATTTTTGAAGTAACTACAAAAGTTGATAGTGTGAATGTATATATATTTTTTGAAAGTTCACAGTTGAGAAGATAATTGAGATTTGAACTGGAATTGAACTGGAGTATAGGATAAATGTACCTTGAAAGCTCACCGGGGCTTATCAAACGGGGTTGGCATTAAAAATCGTCGCCCATTAACAAATCACGAATTATAAATCGCCCATACGAAACCAATATATTATTTCGGTAATCCTGGTTATAGCAGAATGCGGTTTCTAATAATTCAGCGAATCGAGTCCTGCGCCGGCCCGAAGTGGAATCCTGGCAGATTCCCGAATATAAATAACACACCGGACGATCGTTTTTTTTTTCTTCAACCGAACGAAAATCCAATTTCATACAGAAAAAATATATATATATGGTATACACATATACACAAAAAAAAGTAAGCCCGCATTTGCTGGAGGTCGACTCACAAATTAAACGTTCGTTACTATTTGGATCATTAAACTTATATAACTGACACTTTAGATTGTGGATTATCCTGATTTCAGAGGGGATAGAAAATATTTGAAAAAAAATCGAAATAAAGTGAATATTCACATCGGGACATAGTTCAATTTTCATCTGTTATTTGCTCCAATTTGATTTCGTTTTTAGGATTTGTCCTGATTAACCGATATCCCAATTAAGTTGACTGTATTTGAAAAAAAAAATTGTCCAAATAGCGCGTTGGTTAAAGAAGTCTAAGATAATCCTGATTTTCTTTTTGTAAAAAAAATATTTGCAATAAAATTACATTTAATTACAAAATTTGGTAAAATTTTATTTTCAAATAAAAAACAAATTAAAGATGAGATAAATAACTTAAAAACTTTACATTTTAAATCTGACTATTCTGGAATATAAAGTTTTTTTTTATGTGAATTCCATTTTAAATTTAAGTTACTTTAACACATTTAACGCTGCCCAGGGTCGAATGATTCCGTATCTCTGACCCAGCAGCCCCCAGATGAAGCTTGAAAAGGGATCAAGTCAAACAAATATTTCTACACACGGCTCTGCATGAACATATCTATTGATTTAAACCGTTATATGTGTGTACTAACAAAAAAATCCATTTATTTTCTGTTTCAAACAAAATTTTGTCAATGCATATAAAATTTGGAAAATCATATTTTTTTTAGAAAAAATAAATAGATATGAATAGAAAGAATGATCCAAAGTTCTATTCGTTATTTGCTCAGTTTTGTTCCATCCTTTAGGAACTGTCCCTAATAATCGACTGTCCCAATTAACCGGTGTCCCGGTTAAGCGGAATTTACTGTACTTTATTTTTTGTAAAAAATAATCCAAAATTTTATTTTATTATAGAAAATTCTATAAATTTAAAACAGAATTTATTACTATTTTGTATGAAAATATTTTGTTATATTATTTTTTTTATAATAATTATTTGTTTCTGTTAATGTTTAATAATTTTTTTTAAGAAAATGAAATGAAACTGTGAACAATTGTGATATTTTGAGGAAGTTATCAAAAGCATAGATGTGGTTTGGGAA